AGCGAGTCGGCAGTTATGACCAATACAACGAATTTGACCTTTGACATCAATGTAAACTTTACCTACGTAACAAATAGCGTTAAGGATCCCCGTCCCTCCACCTAAAAATGTAATGAGGCATTGTTTTTTTTTTGTATGCGCATCGCTATTGCATAACCAAATCATTTCTGAACAATAACCCATACCTTGCGGTAGTTTCTTCAGATTTTGTGGGATATTATGAAATTTCAATTTTTTTTCGATTATTTTTTTCAATAGGAACAAAATACATTTTATTTGATGCAACAATGGTTTATTAGAAATAAAACACATAAAAAATAATAACAATGTCAATATTGATGAACAAAACACCAAAAAAACTGAGTAATTTTCTAACAATAATACTAAAACAAACAAAAATGCCCGTTACATGAATCAATAAAATTTCGAGTGCCAATGCAACACGTTTAGGACAACAAAAAGAAAATATAATAATTCTAAATGCCAAAAAGTCATATATACAATTTACAACATACAATATAGCACTTTTTATATACGAATATAATACAGTAGGCATTACCAACCATTACAATTACTTCAAATGTTATAACCAATATAAAACAAAACTGCACATTGTGTATGAATAATATTATAACAAGCAATGTACTTTACTGTGTCATAGCAAAAATGTCACAATGAACAACAATAACCAAGTTTCACATACTTTACACAACAATAATAAATTTCTACATAATAAGCAAATAACATACAATTTTGTGATATAAAAAAACACGATATATACAACAATAATAAACTTTTACATTCTGAACAAAACAATAATAAACTTTCACGTTATGTACAGATAACAATATACCATATTGTGATATGTAAAATATCACACTATATAGCAATAACAAACTTTGTCATTATATACAGATAACAACATATATTGTGGTTTAACAAATATCACACCATACAACAATAATAAACTTTTACATTATGTACAAATAACAACATACGATATTGTGGTATAAAAATGTCACATTGTAAAACTAACACTGTTGTATGTAATATAAAAAATGAACTTGAAATATAGGCCTATTGGGTATATACATGTAATAACAAATATAGAATATAATCCTGACTATTGTGATGTATAAAAGACTTCCCAGGCCAAAATATCTTTCCTGTTGGGTATTGCACAACCATACGCGTAGCCTAGTACCGCATTCCTTACAACCTTTCTGGTCGAGGTATTCAGATAACATCGCGAGTTCAACCACTCGTCTACCCTGCGACCAGGTTAAAAAGTTATTGACGGATCCTCATCGGACGTCGGTGTCGGCTCATCAGTAAAATTGCCAGTAAGCTTAGTATAGGGGCCTCAGTAGCCCGCGTCTCTTCAATGTGTGAACGAGTGTCACTTTGTTTCGTTGCATAGTCGTGGTCTAGCAGTTGATAGTGGACATCGTTGTTGTTATTATTGTCAGTTAATGCGTTTAGTTTACATTTAAAACGGCCGATTTTACGTCGGGTTTGCATGTCGGCCATCACTGCCACGACGTTGTTTACATCGTTACGACAGGTTTTTTTTACCTACACTTTCGCGATTGTATTTTTTCAATGCAAGGGACACAACTCTGTAGTCGAAACGTTATTCAAACGAAATCTATTCAAGGGAAGATAACAACATTGTCGACGTGGTAATCAGGGGCAGGTGACTCTAACACTGAAAAACGACAGTGGAATTCTTACGTGTTTTGCTCTGGCTGGGACGAGGATCCTTAAGCGACACATTGCCCAAATGGATCTGATCATTTGTTTCAGCTATATTTGGACTCGTATATATGATCTTATATATGATGGGGATGTCATTTTACCGAAAGCCGAGTATAAATAGAGTTAATATGATCAGTGGGAGTAATAATTACCGAAAGTCGATCTAAAACATGTAAAATTACTCTGAACACCTTAGTTTAGATCTAAATATAGCGGTAACAAATTATCATGTCCCTATGACATCGCCGTGTTATCCGACATATAGCGGTAACAAATGATCATGTCCCTATGACATCGCCGTGTTATCCGACATATAGCGGTAACAAATGATCATGTCCCTATGACATCGCCGTGTTATCCGACATATAGCGGTAACAAATGATCATGTCCCTATGACATCGCCGTGTTATCCGACATATAGCGGTAACAAATGATCATGTCCCTATGACATCGCCGTGTTATCCGACATATAGCGGTAACAAATGATCATGTCCCTATGACATCGCCGTGTTATCCGACATATAGCGGTAACAAATGATCATGTCCCTATGACATCGCCGTGTTATCCGACATATAGCGGTAACAAATGATCATGTCCCTATGACATCGCCGTGTTATCCGACATATAGCGGTAACAAATGATCATGTCCCTATGACATCGCCGTGTTATCCGACATATAGCGGTAACAAATGATCATGTCCCTATGACATCGCCGTGTTATCCGACATATAGCGGTAACAAATGATCATGTCCCTATGACATCGCCGTGTTATCCGACATATAGCGGTAACAAATGATCATGTCCCTATGACATCGCCGTGTTATCCGACATATAGCGGTAACAAATGATCATGTCCCTATGACATCGCCGTGTTATCCGACATATAGCGGTAACAAATGATCATGTCCCTATGACATCGCCGTGTTATCCGACATATAGCGGTAACAAATGATCATGTCCCTATGACATCGCCGTGTTATCCGACATATAGCGGTAACAAATGATCATGTCCCTATGACATCGCCGTGTTATCCGACATATAGCGGTAACAAATGATCATGTCCCTATGACATCGCCGTGTTATCCGACATATAGCGGTAACAAATGATCATGTCCCTATGACATCGCCGTGTTATCCGACATATAGCGGTAACAAATGATCATGTCCCTATGACATCGCCGTGTTATCCGACATATAGCGGTAACAAATGATCATGTCCCTATGACATCGCCGTGTTATCCGACATATAGCGGTAACAAATGATCATGTCCCTATGACATCGCCGTGTTATCCGACATATAGCGGTAACAAATGATCATGTCCCTATGACATCGCCGTGTTATCCGACATATAGCGGTAACAAATGATCATGTCCCTATGACATCGCCGTGTTATCCGACATATAGCGGTAACAAATGATCATGTCCCTATGACATCGCCGTGTTATCCGACATATAGCGGTAACACATGATCATGTCCCTATGACATCGCCGTGTTATCCGACATATAGCGGTAACACATGATCATGTCCCTATGACATCGCCGTGTTATCCGACATATATCCCTTGCACCTCATCGGTATATCTTCAGTCAGAAGTTATGTATTTGATCTTAGACCACAATGTGACTTTGACCTTAGGCGTACGGACCCATTAGTCGTAAGCCACAGTGAAATTCTACCTAAGTATATCAGGGACTATTTAGTCAAATGACATCCTGAAAAACGAGTCGATAATGAAAATATATATCTCCTAACGAAAGTTTTTGCAGTTGATAATGACCCTTCTAGTGTGGTCAGTTTCATCTTTTGGGAAGGCTGTACTGAAAATCCGGGCCTTTCAGTGAGAAGTTAACATATACAGCACCACGCTGTCGACCGACAACACAGTGCCAGTTACGTATACGAGTCTGAGTTCACACATAACGCATTCCGTTATTTACACAATACATTGCAAGTAAGAATTATAAATATCATAATTTATACCTCTAATAACATATTTCTGTTTATATTTGGATTTGAGTAATAACGAACAAGTTTAATTAGAGCATGCACGCACTGAGAGGGTGCCAGTACGATATCAATAGACAAGATCACTCGAAAAATTCACGATAAATAAAATGGTCGCGACCAAGGACTGGTTTTGGAGTATCCACGCACCCCTTTATTGACACTTTCATTTTTCCTTTCACTATACGCGAATATTAACGGTAGTCGATGGTAAGACATGAAATATCTAAATCAATCGATAGCAATCCATAATATAACAGTCTACCCCTTCGGAAACCTCAAAGGTGTCTGATCCCTACCAGGAACAAATTTGGGTTATTTGTAATTCCCGTGTGAAATTTGGAACGCCTTCAGGTTGAATGTTATTCCTGTTTGAAAAGTAAATCTATATCTGAATTATCCAAGAGCTTGTAATTAGCGCCTGGTATATTCCGACAAAAGCAAACACACGAAAGTTCTTCAGCATGATAGGCAACAGATGTCAAAATCTGGGACTGAAACCGAAATTATTAGTCCCCACTGGGGTTCCCCCATGAGTGACTAAAAATGTGCATATGTCCTATTAAACATCAAACAATCAACACATGGCTCCATCTTCACTATCATCCTCTTAAGTTCAATCATAACAGTTTATTACAGCAAGTATACTACATTGGTGGATTCAACCATGGTCAGTGTCTGAATCCCACATTTTCACAAAACAGCTGTATCTACAAAAAGATGTCTTTCTTCAACACAGCATTTCACCTGTTTCCTATAAATCTCTTAGATCATAAAGACATTTCAGTGACACAAGCAGGATTCTCAGTAACTGGCTAAATTTATATACTGTGAACATCAACTATGTCCCTTAAGGGATAGGCCAAGACTAAGGCCAGAAGAGAGATACAATGGTTTTCTGCTATATGACCAACAAAGATCGTCTTCGGCCGGAAAAATAGAATTACCAATCGCCGTGTATGATGCAAGAACATGCAAAAGTTATGTTTTATCAAACAAAACTACAGAAGCTGTGCTTTCTCAGTCACCGGAAATCTTTCCCGACATACAAGACATGGCGAATAAGTTGGCAACAGTTATCATTGAGATTTTCTGTACACGCGATATCGTATAATACAGTCTATACAACAATGGAAAGTATGTCAATAAACCCTTACCCTAGGGGTGTCAATAAACCCTTACCCTAGGGGTGTCAATAAACCCTGACCCTAGGGTTGTCAATAAACCCTTACCCTAGGGGTGTCAATAAACCGTGACCCTAGGGATAATAAAACCTTACCCTAGGGGTGTCAATAAACCCTTACCCTAGGGTTGTCAATACACCCTTACCCTAGGGGTGTCAATACACCCTTACCCTAGGGGTGTCAATAAACCCTTACCCTAGGGTTGTCAAAACACCCTTTCCCTAGGGTTGTCAATACACCCTTACCCTAGGGTTGTCAATACACCCTTACCCTAGGGTTGTCAAAACACCCTTTCCCTAGGGTTGTCAATACACCCTTACCCTAGGGTTGTCAATACACCCTTACCCTAGGGTTGTCAATACACCCTTACCCTAGGGTTGTCAAGCATTTGTCAGTGTTTAAAAATTGTTACTATCAAAAAGGTGAATGGCAGAATTTTATAAAAGCATCAATAAAACACTGATAATGGTGATTTAAACTTTGCATCCGTTGATTTCAAAATAGTCAACTTTTTTTTATAATCTGCAGACAACACATAGAAAACCAGAAAAAGTTTTCGGGTCGGCACGAAAAACAACAGGGTACAGGGTAGCAGAAAACCAGCATATTTAGTTTGCCTAATCTGCTGGATGGAGTCTGAGCCAAGAGATTTTCTTCTTTATTTTGGATGTCTTCTAACCGTCAGATTTTTCCTCTTTTTCTTTCGCTGGTCTCTTCCCCCTCTTCAATAGCTTTTTGCCCTGGTGTGTTGTCATTTTTGAAGAAAGCCCTGAAAATGTGCCTGAGGTCATCTAGTTCTGTTAAACTCCACTTGTGACGGTTTAAAGTTGGGGCCTTCTTCCTGTTTGGTTCTGACGAAATCAAGATTATCCACACCGGGATAGGCAAATATACCATCAGATTAATTAAGAACAATTGTAACAAGATTTCCTGTTGTAACAGCCACATTAGAATCTACTAAACAGTAAACTGACCATGACATAGTATGTGTTATCAAGAAAGAAAGAAAAAAAGCAGGTTGAAGGCCTGTATCACCCATCTGGATATTTATGCATTCATGGCAAAATATTTTCATTACAAGTAAAATTGTAAATAATTTTATTTTTTTCCCAACACTCTTCCTTTATCATATTTGAATACTTGGTCAGTGTCTTGATCAGTGAGGTTTGCAGATTATGAAGGATCAAACAAATAAATTAACTCAAGTTTTACAAGTTGAAAAAAACTATACTGAATTTGTGCCTAACAAGACTGGCAAACAAGGACACAGCACACGGATGACTACTACGCCCTTTTGATACAAAATTAACAAAGGACAAAAAGTGAATAACTGTATACAAGTTGTATAGTCAATAAAGCCTATCAAGGTTAAATATTGGTTGTAAAGTGAGGGAGGAGGTCTCCTAACGAGAGTTGGTTGTAAAGTGAGGGAGGAGGTCTCCTAACGAGAGTTGGTTGTAAAGTGAGGGAGGAGGTCTCCTAACGAGAGTTGGTTGTAAAGTGAGGGATGAGGTCTCCTAACAAGAGTTAGTTGTAAAGTGAGGGATGAGGTCTTCTAACAAGAGTTGGTTGTAAAGTGAGGGATGAGGTCTCCTAACGAGAGTTGGTTGTGAAGTGAGGGAGGAGGTCTCCTAACGAGAGTTGGTTGTGAAGTGAGGGAGGAGGTCTCCTAACGAGAGTTGGTTGTAAAGTGAGGGAGGTCTCCTAACGAGAGTTAAATGTCAAAATAAACAGAGGGCAAAAACTTTCAAAACTTGTCGATTATAAATTCTTATTTTATTTTGGAAAACACCATTAAATGACATGATAATTAAGTTTAAAAGTTTTAAGAATATTAATTTAAAACTGAGAAAGGACATCTCCAAACAAATATTGTTAATGGACATTGTTGATGGACAGACGAACAACACCACACCACAATATGTCCCGTCATTTTAATAAAAAGGTACATGTACATACCATTTTTAAGGACTCCTCTTCCTCCACAGGAAGGTCTGGAATGAAATCTTCATCTGCAGGATTTCCACTGTCCTCTACAACAACCATTTTTTTCTTAGATGTTGACATTGTATGTTACAAAAATGTTTCTTTGATGTTTTTTTATATTGTTTTAATATGATTTGTTTGAATATTTGGTTTATTATGATTTAGCTTGATTCATTGTATGCTAATTAGCATGTAAAATGAATTATATAAAGAACTGACAAAGTAAAATTTATTATACAAAGAACTGACAAAAGAAATGTATGGTTAAGTAATGTCTTTCAGATGTGTTTAAATATGTGCTGGTAAAAATGAGTTACTTCCCCTGAAATCGACCCACAAGTGACACAATTAGTTATTAGGTCGATTTTCTGGCAAAATACATATTTTTGTTTAATGAATCTTTACCCAAAGCTGCTCTATTGATATATATATTATCGGAATTAAACCAGTTATTTAGTGATTACAAACACTTACAGTTTGTTATGGCGAGTGATGAATCAATCATATGGCGTTATTTCTGCTTACACATGTACATATGATAGTGACATAATTGCTGTCGATTTTCTTGCAAAGTTCATGGTTTTGTTATTGTAAATTTACCCAAAGCTGACTCCCCGTACACATATAGTGTGAAAGGCCAAGGGGGAGATAACTTTTGTCTCACAGACAAATCGTCGACAGACAAAATAGAAAACAGACAACAGACAGTTCATTGTGGGGATTTTTTTAATTTTCGACGCGAAATCACCCCACAACACACTTATAGACATTTGGTGAACATTTCACTGTGGGGATATCCCCAAAGTGTAGAGAAATCCCCACAATACTAGTTTGTACCAACGGATATCCCCACAGCTGGCAAAATGTAAGTGGAGACAGACAGACAGACAGACAGACAGAGACATGGAAGGGAGATACAGATAAACAAAGGCAGACAGACAGAGAAAATTATGCACCGATACTTACCTCTCTCCACTAGGCACATTGACACGTGTAACAAATACCATTCCTACCCATCCCCCGCTAATTATATAAAGAGGGAATCATACTAACCTAGTGTAGAGTACTTATCCAATACTTGGTCTGGCGGCCGGTATGACACAAGAATTTCACTTCGCGGGAAGTCGAGTGGCTTTTGTATGACACGGGAATGTCTTTCTACAGTCCCTGTGATACGCTCGTTTTACATGTCTGTCGGTAGATGTCTAAGTAAATAAATCACCCGAACGTGCTTCACATTGTGATGATGTGACGATATACACTAGTACATCTGTCAGCTATCTCCTAAAGTTGATAGGTTATAATGAACCCTTCCTATTCTGACTGTTGTTTTTCCTAACATCCATTAACTATGATCATGTATGGAGGCTAATTGGTAACATTTTGCCTGTTCGCTTTTTTTCGTCTGCGAAACACAGAAAGATGAAATAGTTGTATGACTTTAAGAACAAAATAACGGCTAAAATATATTTCTATATGTATCCGGTGTTTAATTTGACCAAAGTAACAACAGAAAGTATGGTTTACTTTATTTAAAAGCGTATTCAAGATATGTACACCTACATATAGACTTCTGTTTACACTAGACAAGTTCTGTGGATTGTTTACACTAGACAAGTTCTGTGGACTGTTTACGCTAGACAAGTTCTGTGGACTGTTTACACTGGACTGTTTACACTATATACGTTCTGTGGACTGTTTACACTAGACAAGTTCTGTGGACTGTTTACACTAGACAAGTTCTGTTGACTGTTTACGCTAGACAAGTTCTGTTGACTGTTTACACTAGACAAGGTCTGTGGACTGTTTACACTAGACACGTTCTGTGGACTGTTTACACTAGACAAGTTCTGTTGACTGTTTACACTAGACAATTCCTGTGGACTGTTTACACTATACAAGTTCTGCGGACTGTTTACACTAGACAAGTTCTGTGGCCTGTTTACGCTAGACAATTTCTGTGGACTGTTTACACTAGACAAGTTCTGTGGACTGTTTACGCTAGACAAGTTCTGTTGACTGTTTACACAATACAAGTTCTGCGGACTGTTTACACTAGACAAGTTCTGTGGCCTGTTTACGCTAGACAATTTGTGTGGACTGTTTACACTAGACAAGTTCTGTGGACTGTTTACGCTAGACAAATTCTGTTGACTGTTTAAAATAAACAAGTTCTGTTGACTGTTTACACTAGACAATTCCTATGGACTGTTTACACTATACAAGTTCTGCGGACTGTTTACACTATACAAGTTCTGTTGACTGATTACTCTAGACAAGTTCTGTGGTCTGTTTTCATTAGACAAGTTCTGTGGACTGTTTACGCTAGACAAGTTCTGTTGACTATTTACACTAGACAAGTTCTGTGGACTGTTTACGCTAGACAAGTTCTGTTGACTATTTACACTAGACAAGTTCTGTGGACTGTTTACACTAGACAATTTCTGTGGACTGTATACGCTAGACAAGTTCTGTGGACTGTTTACACTGGACTGTTTACACTAAACAAGTTCTGTGGACTGTTTACACTATACAAGTTCTTTTGACTGTTTACACTAGACAAGTTCTGTGGACTGTTTACACTATACAAGTTCTTTTGACTGTTTATACTAGACAAGTTCTGTAGACTGTTTACGCTAGACAAGTTCTGTTGACTGCATACTCTAGACAAGTTCTGTTGACTGTTTACGCCAGACAATTTCTGTTGATTGTTCACGCTAGACAAGTTCTGTGGACTGTTTACACTGGACTGTTTACACTAAACAAGTTCTGTTGACTGTTTACGCTAGACAAGTTCTGTTGACTGCATACTCTAGACAAGTTCTGTTGACTGTTTACGCCAGACAATTTCTGTTGATTGTTCACGCTAGACAAGTTCTGTGGACTGTTTTCATTAGACAAGTTCTGTGGACTGTTTACACTATACAAGTTCTGCGGACAGTTTACACTAGACAAGTTCTGTGGAATGTTTACGCTAGACAAGTTCTGTGGACTGTTTTCATTAGACACGTTCTGTGGACAGTTTACACTAGACAAGTTCTGTGGCCTGTTTACGCTAGACAATTCCTGTGGACTGTTTACACTAGACACGTTCTGTGGACTGTTTACACTAGACAAGTTGTGTGGACTGTTTACGCTAGACAAGTTCTGTTGACTGTATAAGCTAGACAAGTTCTGTTGACTGTTTACACTGGACTGTTTACACTAAACAAGTTCTGCGGACTGTTTACACTATACAAGTTCTTTTGACTGTTTATACTAGACAAGTTCTGTAGACTGTTTACGCTAGACAAGTTCTGTTAACTGTTTACACTAGACAAGTTCTGTGGCCTGTTTACGCTAGACAATTCCTGTGGACTGTTTACACTAGACAAGTTGTGTGGACTGTTTACGCTAGACAAGTTCTGTAGACTGTTTACGCTAGACAAGTTCTGTTGACTGTTTTCATTAGACAAGTTCTGTGGACAGTTTACACTAGACAAGCTAGACAAGTTCTGTTGACTGTTTACGCCAGACAATTTCTGTTGATTGTTCACGCTAGACAAGTTCTGTGGACTGTTTTCATTAGACAAGTTCTGTGGACAGTTTACACTAGACAAGTTCTGTGGCCTGTTTACACTAGACAAGGTATGGGGACTGTTTTCGCTAGACAAGTTCTGTGGACTGTTTATACTAGACAAGATCTGTGGACTGTTTACGCTAGACAAGTTCTGTTGACTGTTTACGCCAGACAATTTCTGTTGATTGTTCACGCTAGACAAGTTCTGTGGACTGTTTTCATTAGACACGTTCTGTGGACAGTTTACACTAGACAAGTTCCGTGGACTGTTTACGCTAGACAAGTTCTGTGGACTCTTTACGCTAGACAAGTTCTGTTGACTATTTACACTAGACAAGTTCTGTTGACTGTTTACACTGGACTGTTTACACTAAACAAGTTCTGTGGACTGTTTACACTAGACAATTTCTGTGGACTGTATACGCTAGACAAGTTCTGTTGACTGTTTACACTGGACTGTTTACACTAAACAAGTTCTGTTGACTGTTTACGCTAGACAAGTTCTGTGGCCTGTTTACACTAGACAAGTTCTGTGGCCTGTTTACGCTAGACAATTCCTGTGGACTGTTTACACTAGACACGTTCTGTTGACTGTTTACACTAGACAATTCCTATTCACTGTTTACACTATACAAGTTCTGTGGACTGTTTACACTAAACAAGTTCTGTGGACTGTTTACACTATACAAGTTCTGTTGTCTGTTTACACTAGACAAGTTCTGTTGACTGTTTACGCCAGACAATTTCTGTTGATTGTTCACGCTAGACAAGTTCTGTGGACTGTTTTCATTAGACACGTTCTGTGGACAGTTTACACTAGACAAGCTAGACAAGTTCTGTTGACTGTTTACAATAGACAAGTTCTGTGGACTGTTTACACTATACAAGTTCTGCGGACAGTTTACACTAGACAAGTTCTGTGGCCTGTTTACGCTAGACAATTCCTGTGGACTGTTTACACTAGACACGTTCTGTTGACTGTTTACACTAGACAATTCCTATTCACTGTTTACACTATACAAGTTCTGTGGACTGTTTACACTAAACTAGTTCTGTTGACTGATTACTCTAGACAGGTTCTGTGGTCTGTTTTCATTAGACAAGTTCTGTGGACTGTTTACACTATACAAGTTCTGCGGACAGTTTACACTAGACAAGTTCTGTGGCCTGTTTACGCTAGACAATTCCTGTGGACTGTTTACACTAGACACGTTCTGTTGACTGTTTACACTAGACAATTCCTATTCACTGTTTACACTATACAAGTTCTGTGGACTGTTTACACTAAACAAGTTCTGTTGACTGTTTACACTATACAAGTTCTTTTGACCGTTTACACTAGACAAGTTCTGTTGACTGTTTACAATAGACAAGTTCTGTGGACTGTTTACACTGGACTGTTTACACTAAACAAGTTCTGTGGACTGTTTACACTATACAAGTTCTGTGGACTGTTTACGCTAGACAATTTCTGCTGACTGTTTACGCTAGACAAGTTCTGTGGACTGTTTACACTAGACAAGACATGTCGACTGTTTACACTAGACAAGTTCTGTGGACTGTTTACGCTAGACAAGTTCTGTTGACTGTATACGCTAGACAAGTTCTGTTGACTGTTTACGCTAGACAATTTCTGTTGACTGTTTACGCTAGACAAGTTCTGTGGACTGTTTACACTAGACAAGGTATATGGACTGTTTTCGCTAGATAAGTTCTGTGGACTGTTTACGCTAGACAATTCCTGTTGACTGTTTACGCTAGACAAGATCTGTGGACTGTTTACGCTAGACAAGTTCTGTTGACGTCAAGTTTCCTTGAGGACTGTGTTGTACTTGAATCGTTTCATTCATTGATTCCCGAAATTATTATCCAATATGGTGAATTGAAAAACCTAGAACAGCTACTCAAGACAGCCTAATCTGACCAAGGATCTTAATGTAACCTTATTGACGCAAACAGGATTATTAATAGTTATATTATACTGACAATTATATAAAACACACTACTGAAATAGTCCAACTTCATTATAATGAGTCTCGTTTCGGATTGCCTGGTCAATATCATAGAGTATATCATGTCGATATTACCTCCTACATGTTACAGCGTGCCTGATTGGGTTATAATCATCACATGACATATACATAATTTATTACGGTACGCGCTCGAGTTTCCCTGGAGATACTTGGATGAAATGCAGAACGGCGCGTAAGCCTGATGGTTGCGCAATAGTCTCGCGATAGGCGAAATTAGTGATGAATATATATTGTCCTTGTGTAGAGAAGCATGCTCACGTTTTCCTCTTGATTAACCATGATTCATCATTGTTCATGTGGATCGGGCAAAACACAATGTTTTCGTCAACAACAACAAAAATCATCAAATGCCTAAATATCAAATAACGTCCTTCCATTATTGTTTATTGTAGAGATCATGACTGACGTACTGACCAATGGCTGTGTTACGGAGGTGTTGACCGAGCTGTGTCCACTTTGTGAGGAGGACATATTCCGGCCTCGGGCTCTCCCGTGCTCCCATAGATTCTGCCTGGAGTGTCTTGACTCCTACATCTTTCGGAAAACTTCAAACACATCTGTCGCCCTCACTTGTCCAAAGTGTGATAGAATTGCAAGACCAGTGCGCCCGGACTCAGTTCGTGGATTCTGGGCGGAGGAGTTCCCGGAAACAAACGTTCCGAAGAGCAAGGGTCTTGCCTTCGGCGTTCCCGCGTGTCTGCCGTGTCAGGAAAAAGGCGATGACGTAGCAGCCTCTGATTGGTGCCGGAACTGTAAGGTGTTATTCTGTTCGTTCTGCCGAAAGTTCCATGATTCCATCCACAGGCGTCACGTGGTGTTTGATGTACGAGAATACCAGCGCAGGGAGGCTTTCTTCAGAGGCAAGTCGTTCATCTCAAAGAAAAAGGAGGAGAAAAACTTTATCTGCAACTTCCGATTTACTCGTGCATGTAGCCTGACACGTTTGTTTCCAACAGCTTCCATTGTTGGTAAAGGTGTGAGATTCGAGTCTATGGACCGTTAACGTAGCACGGAGTTATCCATTAGACCGTTAACGTAGCACGGAGTTATCCACTAGACCGTTAACGTAGCACGGATTTCTCCATTAGACCGTTAACGTATCACGGAGTTCTCCAAAAGACTTACTTTGTCCTCTCCAACAATATTCCAGTCAATAGATGAAAATGAACCTTCGCTTTTGAATAACACATGGATGGGACTTATATACTTCGTTATTCGGAAAACAAGAATGGTGTAATTCGCTATCTAGTGTGTACATCATCAGCTATCTACACGTGTATATGAAAGTATTAAATGTTTGCAATTAACATAATGATGTTGTTTACATAATGAATTCAGATGACATACTAAAACCATAGGAATAAAAGAAGGGAGTTCATGTTCCGCCTTACAGGTAAATTTACACCGGAATAAAGAAAGGGAGTCCATGTTCCGCCTAACAGGTAAATTTACACCGGAATAAAGAAAGGGAGTTCATGTTCAGCCTTACAGGTAAATTTACACCGGAATAAAGAAAGGGAGTTCATGTCCCGCCTTACAGGTAATATTACACCGGAATAAAGAAAGGGGGTTCATGCTCTTCCGTACAGGTAAAAAAGTGATCTAAAAATGGCTTTTTTATAATTACATCAAAGATTATTAAGAGGGAAACATTTCAAGAAAACGTTTTGTTAACCGAAGATATTCATTCCCGCCCATCACAAAAACCTTGATGCCGACCAAATTAATGCACAATTGATAGAACTGTTGCGATCTGTAAAATGATGCAACAGCAAATATATTAATTTCTTCCTAAGGAGACAGTTGCTATCGGTCATCTCTCTGTCCAGGCTGACACAGACGACACGCCCACTGACTGTCATTCCTAAGGAGACAGTTGCTATCGGTCATCTCTCTGTCCAGGCTGACACAGACGACACGCCCACTTACTGTCATTCCTATAAGGAGACAGTTGTTATCGGTCATCTCTCTGTCCAGGCCGACACAGACGACACGCCCACTGACTGTCATTCCTATGTGGCGGTTTGGTTTTGTTATGATTGTAAACTGAGTGTGACTTTGGTGTGGACCTACAGATCCAATAAAATGTATTAACCCCTTCTGAGAATAGCGTTGCTCTAGTATGCGCTCAAATTCATTTAAACTTAAAGAGATAATTATTGACCCTTTTCAGAAAAACCCAGGTTAGAAATAAGGCCAGTCTCTCACAAAAATTAAACCGCATCCTATTTTATTGGCAAACAAAATACGCAAAATAAACGTAATGACTTATGATTGTATGAATTTAACAGTATCATCTCCCGAAGGTGACCATTTAACGCAGGTTTGATTGTATACTGTATATAGATGATATAATAACGCCTTCGAGAACATTTCCATTAGTTATAAAGAGTCATTACATTTTATGCTTCCCTTTTCGTTGAAGAAACGCTTAACATTATTTATGAATGATGAAAACTGAATAGTCTATGTCAATTCATTTTACTATATTGATTGCCACTGATGCTGGGTGTAATGAGAATCACTAACCATGAGATACAAACTCGTGACGACAGCCTTCTCAAAACGTGTCTGTACCATGGCTCCTTGTGGCCGTTGTATCGGTACCGAAGCATGCACAACACAAAGGTTTGGTAACAACTTTCCCTTCAATGCATTATGTACAAACAATGGTAAACAATTACATGTATAATTGTGTCCCGAAGAAAAGTGTACCACAGTACACAATTATATGACTTTTCGTACCATAGTACACAATTATATGAAATTTTTTTGTGTCCGGATCTTGTCGGCCATCGTAGCTGTAATTGTATGTACATGTAAGTGTGAAAGTATATGATTTAAAAAGAAATGTTTCCAATCTTTATTTAGCACACAGGGAACACACTTGGCCGTTTTCGTGTAAACGGTCGGACCAGAGTTGTTTGTTTATTAAATAAGGTGGGACCTAGTAATCTGATGCTGCTTTCAGGCGAGCCTTGACAAAGCCTTGCAAGGCCTGCATAAACATTTGCAGGTCCGCCAGGATTTATATCCAAAATTGTTACATTTATAAACGGTCAAACCGGTTGTTCCGCATAAATGAACAGGGTCAAGGAATTGATTTACCATTTTTGTGTGCCCCACTGTACACCTTTATGTAGTACACACAGATATACAAAATCAAATCATCGTGTACAAGGATTATCAGCACAACGAGGAGACTTTCAATCGGTCACCGGCAACAGGACTGTAGAGACCCTAATATATATACAAATTGTGTGTGAAACATTGAGAAGGTATGATTTGATATTACGGTAAATCCTTGTGAGAGAACTAAGTACCTGGTTACCAACATCATTCTAGAACTAAGTACCTGGTTACCAACATCATTCTAGGACTAAGTACCTGGTTACCAACATCATTCTAGAACTAAGTTCCTGGTTACCAACATCATTCTAGAACTAAGTTCCTGGTTACCAACATCATTCTAGAACTAAGTTCCTGGTTACCAACCTCATTCTAGAACTAAGTACCTGGTTACCACCATCATTCTAGAACTAAGTACCTGGTTACCAACATCATTCTAGAACTAAGAACCTGGTTACCAACATCATTCTAGAACTAAGAACCTGGTTACCAACATCATTCTAGAACTAAGTTCCTGGTTACCAACATCATTCTAGAACTAAGTACCTGGTTACCAACATCATTCTAGAACTTTGCAATATATGAAACATTTCGGAACCATTCTCAGCATTAGATAGTATGACTACGGGGTTCTGCAGTATCACTCCGCAAGTATCCGTGCACTAGATGGAGGAATATCGACAGAGTTACAAGGTCCACTCCGCAAGTATCCGTACACTAGATGGAGGAATATCGACAGAGTAACAAGGTCCACTCCGCAAGTATCCGTACACTAGATGGAGGAATATCGACAAAGTAACAAGGTCCACTCCGCAAGTATCCGTACACAAGTAGGAGGAATATGGACAGAGTAACAATGTCCACTCCGCAAGTATCCGTACACTAGATGGAGGAATATCGACAGAGTAACAAGGTCCACTCCGCAAGTATCCGTACACTAGATGGAGGAATATCGACAGAGTAACAAGGTCCACTCCGCAAGTATCCGTACACTAGATGGAGGAATATCGACAGAGTAACAAGGTCCACTCCGCAAGTATCCGTACACTAGATGGAGGAATATCGACAGAGTAACAAGGTCCACTCCGCAAGTATCCGTACACTAGATGGAGGAATATCGACAGAGTAACAAGGTCCACTCCGCAAGTATCCGTACACTAGATGGAGGAATATCGACAGAGTAACAAGGTCCACTCCGCAAGTATCCGTACACTAGATGGAGGAATATCGACAGAGTAACAAGGTCCACTCCGCAAGTATCCGTACACTAGATGGAGGAATATCGACAGAGTAACAAGGTCCACTCCGCAAGTATCCGTACACTAGATGGAGGAATATCGACAGAGTAACAAGGTCCACTCCGCAAGTATCCGTACACTAGATGGAGGAATATCGACAGAGTAACAAGGTCCACTCCGCAAGTATCCGTACACTAGATGGAGGAATATCGACAGAGTAACAAGGTCCACTCCGCAAGTATCCGTACACTAGATGGAGGAATATCGACAGAGTAACAAGGTCCACTCCGCAAGTATCCGTACACTAGATGGAGGAATATCGACAGAGTAACAAGGTCCACTCCGCAAGTATCCGTACACTAGATGGAGGAATATCGACAGAGTAACAAGGTCCACTCCGCAAGTATCCGTACACTAGATGGAGGAATATCGACAGAGTAACAAGGTCCACTCCGCAAGTATCCGTACACTAGATGGAGGAATATCGACAGAGTAACAAGGTCCACTCCGCAAGTATCCGTACACTAGATGGAGGAATATCGACAGAGTAACAAGGTCCACTCCGCAAGTATCCGTACACTAGATGGAGGAATATCGACAGAGTAACAAGGTCCACTCCGCAAGTATCCGTACACTAGATGGAGGAATATCGACAGAGTAACAAGGTCCACTCCGCAAGTATCCGTACACTAGATGGAGGAATATCGACAGAGTAACAAGGTCCACTCCGCAAGTATCCGTACACTAGATGGAGGAATATCGACAGAGTAACAAGGTCCACTCCGCAAGTATCCGTACACTAGATGGAGGAATATCGACAGAGTAACAAGGTCCACTCCGCAAGTATCCGTACACTAGATGGAGGAATATCGACAGAGTAACAAGGTCCACTCCGCAAGTATCCGTACACTAGATGGAGGAATATCGACAGAGTAACAAGGTCCACTCCGCAAGTATCCGTACACTAGATGGAGGAATATCGACAGAGTAACAAGGTCCACTCCGCAAGTATCCGTACACTAGATGGAGGAATATCGACAGAGTAACAAGGTCCACTCCGCAAGTATCCGTACACTAGATGGAGGAATATCGACAGAGTAACAAGGTCCACTCCGCAAGTATCCGTACACTAGATGGAGGAATATCGACAGAGTAACAAGGTCCACTCCGCAAGTATCCGTACACTAGATGGAGGAATATCGACAGAGTAACAAGGTCCACTCCGCAAGTATCCGTACACTAGATGGAGGAATATCGACAGAGTAACAAGGTCCACTCCGCAAGTGTCCGTACACTAGATGGAGGAATATCGACAGAGTAACAATGTCCACTCCGCAAGTGTCCGTACACTAGATGGAGGAATATCGACAGAGTAACAAGGTCCACGCACTTCACGTAATAACGTGATGTATTATCACAGTACGACCCATTTAGAGTTTATCACGTAAGAACGTGATGTATTATCACAGTACGAGACAGAGTAACAATGTCCACTCCGCAAGTGCCCGTACACTAGATGGAGGAATATGGACAGAGTAACAAGGTCCACTCCGCAAGTGTCCGTACCCTAGATGGAGGAATATCGACAGAATAACAAGGTCCACGCACTTCACGTAATAACGTACAGAGTAACAAGGTCCACTCCGCAAGTGTCCGTACCCTAGATGGAGGAATATCGACAGAATAACAAGGTCCACGCACTTCACGTAATAACGTGAGGTATTATCACAGTACGACCCATTTAGAGTTTACCACGTAAGAACGTGATGTATTATCACAGTACGAGACAGAGTAACAATGTCCACTCCGCAAGGGTCCGTACACTAGATGGAGGAATATAGACAGAGTAACAAGGTCCACGCACTTCACATAATAACGTGATGTATTATCACAGTACAACCCATTTAGAGTTTATCACGTAAGAAAGTGACGTATTATCACAGTACAACCCATTTAGAGTGTATCTAAAATGTGTTACGACGAAAGTGAACAATAACGAACGTCCTATCGGGCCTGCACTGCTCACCTGTTTCTTCTCTGAAGTAGCAACGAAGTTGAAAGGTTTCCGATTATCAGGCTATCTCCGCTTTCTCATTGAAATAACAACATACCATAAGGGCAGTGACAGGACCATAAGGGCAGTGACAGGGACATTTGCACGGCGTTTGGTTTAGATAGGTGCTAGGTAATGAGACAGTAAATCTCTCAATCGTTAAAAGGACACGGTAGCCGTTTTGGAATTTAAATCAATGTTTGATAATCTGAATTATTTGTAAGTGCTCCTCTAACGAGAGTCTATTACTGATTAAACATAAAAGATAACATTTTACTAATTATACGGAAGAATGTCACATCCATCATATAGTGGCTGATCAGGGGGAGCTGTACGAGAAGCTTGAATTCTATATCACATCTTTGTGACCGTCAAGAGGAGGTAATAACGGTAACAGTAGTGACGGAGCATATGAAAAACGCAGAAAATTCAAATGGAAAAGAATGGTTTTACACGGGAAGGTCGGCTGAAGGAATAGATATATTAGGCTTTGACATCTATTTCACGTTTATTGGCAAGGGTGTAATAGTTTTATATCCAGATCACAGGGCCTGAGAATTTATTTGTTACAGCTATATTTGGACCTAAGCTAGGGTGTTCATAGTACGTTTACACGTTTTACGGGTTTAGATCAATTTTCGGCGAAAAGACACCCCGGATGATAATATATGACAAGGGAGAAAAGCTCTCGATGACGACAAATCGACCCCACTTAACTTTCTTGCATCAAAAACCATATTTCTAGTTAATGTACAAAGATAAACTCGGAAATGGTGTGCCTTTTGGAGGGAACCGAGATAATGTCTGCGGAACGAAAATACATTTTAGGTGAATATATGTAACGTAGGGTTCTAATTGACAACACTCCACGCCGTTGCAATTCAAGTATATGTTTATTCCGTGGACAATAAACCTATATAATGAATAAACATACATAATCACTCATACATCGCTCAACCTATGTAATAATGGAGATATATACAATTGATGAAATAAGACGAATGATTATTATGTTTAATTATACTCTTTCATACTTACACATATAAATACTTACCAGGAACATCCAGAGTAAGGACAATGTGACTGGATTATGCTCTCGATGGTTCCGTGTGTTCCCATCGAGAGGTAAAGTCAGTGTGAAGTAGGGAGACGGCAGTGACTGGGATTTGGACGGGTGGTCCGTGCTGCACGTGCACATACATACATTCCTTACACTGGTATTACGCATTACGATTTGAATGTAGTATTAGAACACCTGGCTACATACTCCCCCACTTTGTTAAATCTCTCCTGGTATTTCTCTTACAGTTATTACCCAGAATCTATACACTGATAAGGGGTTATAATTAGAGCCTATTGCTCTAGAAACAATAGTGTTCTTTAGATGGATGGTTATACGATTGACTTTATAATGTTTAAGACTCATAACACCAAACAACTTGAACAAAGCACAGGAATAGATAAGAACCATCTTTGCAGAAGGGACTAATTAGACTATGCTCAAATAAACAGTTACCTACCCTTGACAAAAATACTGTTACTTGTCACCAATGAAGGATAGAGTTCTGATGAGCATGTACAATATAATTATGGTTATATACACTCTGAATGAGATGAAAATCCAACAATGAAATCCATATCATCACATTTGCAAGTGATAACAAGAAATCAGGAATATTAATGTAAAATGACAAACCACTGCTGACGGTTTGGGAGCCCCATACCTGACATCAGGGTAGGTCTTACAACAGGAGGCCCAAGGGCTTTAGCGGTCACCTGAGTTATATCATAGGTACTGGTAGCTTTATTTTATTGTTTAGATGTGATGTGGAAATCAGCATGTAAACTAAGTGAAATACAATACTTGTCATCAAAGGATAAGATTTTTGAAATATTGGTTAATTTCCCCTTGGGGCCCCGCTCTGGCCCCAGGGGTTGGGGTAGGAATGTCAATTTTACAATTTGAAACCATCTTCCTCCAAGGATAATTCTCACCAAGTAAAAATAATTTCCTACAGAAAGTTGTCAAAATGAACTATAGTAAACTTTACCCCCTCCCCAAGACAAAATTTGATTGTGACCTTTGACCCAGTGACCTTTTGTCAATTCATTCCTTGTTTAATTCTGAGCAACATTGCTTCAAAGTGTCATACCAAAATGTTCACCAGTGAAAAGATACAAAATTTATCCTTGACTTTTGACCCAATGACCTTGACATTTGGTCAGGTTGAATCCTTGTTTAACTCTGATCATTTTTGCTTCATCATGTCATAACAAAATGTTCATCAGTGAAAAGATGCCAAATTTGACCTTGACCTTTGAATCTAATTACCTTAACCTTTGACCTCAACTTTTTACCTCAGTGTGTCTCTTTGTTTAATTCCGAACAACTTTGCTTCATAATGTCATAAAATGCTCATTAGTGAAAAGCTTCAAAAGTTGACCTTGACCCCTGACCCGATGACCTTGACCTTTGGTCAGTTGACTCCTTGTTTAATTCTGGGCAACATTGCTTCAAAGTGTCATACCAAAATGTTCACCAGTGAAAAGATACAAAATTTAACCTTGACATTTGAACCTAATGACCTTGACATTTGACCTTGACTTTTTACCTCAATGTGTATTTTTGTGAACTGAACATCTTGACAAAGTTTCATGTACATCGGTCAATAAATGCCAAAGTTATCAGCCAGGAACAAAATTTGTGGACAGACAGAGTGATTACTATAGGGCACCCGTATCTCCTTTATCAATATCTAGCATACAGATTTAAGACTAAAAATTTTGGAAGTAGGCCCTCTGATTCTAAACAAGGAAAAGGAAGAAATTTTAGCACACTGACTCCTTTGGGCCCCACCCTACAGCCTTTGGAGGTAGGTAACTCAGGGTTATACTTCCAATCAGGTTATTAACATGTAATATTCAAAGTTGAATTACTTCCAATGGAAATTAAACAAATGTTGGTCCAAAATTGATTCTACCATATCTGAGTCTTGAGAAGAAGATTTTTGAAATTTCAGTCAGTTCGACTCTTTTTGGCCCCACCCATCAGCCCCGGGGGGTCAGTCAGGGCTCATATGTGCATACCATCAAACTGCTATCCAATACTGATAATGCTAACCCAAATTGAATTACTTCTAATGGAAATTAAACAAATGTTGGTCCAAAATGTGATTTCACTATATAAACTATAGTAAAGTTTACCCCCTCCCCAGGGGGAAACGTGAGACCCCAGGGTCATAAAATTCACAATTTAGTAGAGCACCTTAAGACCCTTCCATCTATGAAGAGTATTTGATTCTACCATATCTGGGTGTTGAGAAGAAGAACTTTGAAATTTTAGTCAATTTGACCCTTTTTGGCCCCGCCCCTCAGGCCCTTTGGGGCTGGGGACCAAACCAGTCCTGAGGCAGCCCTCTGTCCCCTGTGTCACAGACGCACACTGGTCAGTCCTGAGGTAGCCCTCTGTCCCCTGTGTCACAGACGCACACTGGTCAGTCCTGAGGCAGCCCTCTGTCCCCTGTATCATAGTGTGCGTCTGTGACACAGGGGACAGAGGAATGCCTCAGACCTGACCAGTGTGCGTCTGTGACACAGGGGACAGAGGAATGCCTCAGGACTACCAGAGCACGACTGGTTTTCCGGGACATAGAAATTATGTCACAAAACTGCTGATTGCGGGTTCCTTGAACGCAGACATTACAACCAAATTACATTTTCCCAAAAATAGGTTTCTTAGGCGTGATTGTTCGCTAGCACTAGTCAACATCTATGACAGAAGTCAAGAAAGTTGTAGCAAGTTTTAGAATACCGAATTAAATGCGACACGTAAACACCGTAGGATGGGAAAGAAGGGATGTTACTGTCAAGAAGAAGAACATTCATTATTGGGGAAAATCGAAAGTGTCTTGCTATCATACAGCTTATTATATATAACAAGCCATGTTTTAGAAAAGATTTTGCAAAATTCATGGTGGTGTTATATTGAGATTGTCCTTCAGTTTTGCTGCAATTTATTTAAAGGTCAGACAAACAAGCAGTTGCAAGGGGACGGAATAAAGGTAAGCTTCGACCAATTAGAAGCCATTATTTGATTAGGCCAACAAAACTTATACTGTTTGGTTCACACAATGTTTTCTTTGACTGTTATGAAGTTATGCTCGGGGCATGATGAATTTGACTGTTTTGGAGTTATGCTCGGGGCATGGTGAATTTGACTGTTTTGGAGTTATGCTCGGGGCATGGTGAATTTGGCTGTTTTGGAGTTATGCTCAGGGCTTGGTGAATTTGGCTGTTTTGGAGTTATGCTCGGGGCATGGTGAATTTGGCTGTTTCGGAGCTATGCTCGGGGCATGGTGAATTTGACTGTTTTGGAGTTATGCTCAGGGCATGGTGAATTTGACTGTTTTGGAGTTATGCTCGGGGCATGGTGAATTTGAAAGTTTTGGATGTTACGTTTCCAGAAAAAATATAATAAATGAAAACTCCTGCATGGCAATAAGCACTACGAGACCACTAGATCAATACATGTATCAAGTTTCACGATGTTATCTTTGACGGCTTTTGGGATAAGAAGAACTGCTTTTGATGATGGAATGATATAATTGCAATTTATATCTAGTTGTCAGCCTTACAGATCCAAATGCCTGACTTTTGAATTCTAAAGTGTAGACTCAGTTATGAAAGGGTTGAGACACGGTAATGATAAGGTTGAGACACAGTAATGACAGGGTTGAGACACGGAAATGACAGGGTTGAGACACAGTAATGACAGGGTTGACAAATATTGATGACAGGGTTGAGACACAGTAATGACAAAGTGTAGACACAGTAATGACAGGGTTGAAACAGAGTAATGACAAAGTGTAGACTCAGTAATGACAAAGTGTAGACTCAGTAATGACAGGGTTGAGACACAGTAATGGCAGGGTTGAGACACAGTAATGACAGGGTTGAGACACCGTAATGACAAATTGTAGACTCAGTAATGAAAGGGTTGACAAATATTGATGACAGGGTTGAGACACAGTAATGACAGGGGTGAGACACGGAAATGACAGGGTTGAGACACAGTAATGACAAAGTGTAGACACAGTAATGACAGGGCTGAGACACAGTAATGCCAGGGTTGAGACACAGTAATGACAGGGTTGAGACCCCGAAATGACAGGGTTGAGACACAGTAATGACAGGGCTGAGACACAGTAGTGACAAAGTGTAGACTCAGTAATGACAGGGGTGACAAATATTGATGACAGGGTTGAGACACAGTAATGACAAAGTTTAGACTCAGTAATGACAGGGGTGGCAAATATTGATTACAGGGTTGAGACACAGTAATGACAGGGTTGAGACCCCGAAATGACAGGGTTGAGACACAGTAATGACAAAGTGTAAACTCAGTAATGACAAAGTGTAGACTCAGTTATGACAGGGTTAAGACACAGTAATGATAGGGTTGAGACACAGTAATGACAGGGTTGAGACATAGTAATGACAGGGTTGAGACACAGTAATGGCAGGGTTGAGACACAGTAATGACAGGGTTGAGACCCCGAAATGACAGGGTTGAGACACAGTAATGACAAAGTTTAGACTCAGTAATGACAGGGGTGGCAAATATTGATTACAGGGTTGAGACACAGTAATGACAGGGTTCAGACACAGTAATGATAGGGTTGAGACACAGTAATGACAAAGTTTAGACTCAGTAATGACAGGGTTGAAACACAGTAATGACAAAGTGTAAACTCAGTAATGACAAAGTGTAGACTCAGTTATGACAGGGTTGAGACACAGTAATGACAGGGCTGAGACACAGTAATGCCAGGGTTGAGACACAGTAATGACAGGGTTCAGACACAGTAATGATAGGGTTGAGACACATTAATGACAAAGTGTAGACTCAGTAATGACAGGGGTGACAAATATTGATGACAGGGTTGAGACACCGTAATGACAGGGTTGAGACACAGTAATGATAGGGTTGAGACACAGTAATGATAGGGTTGAGACGCAGTAATGACAGGGTTGAGACACAGTAATGACAGGGTTGAGACACAGTATGGACTCCTGTAGTATCAGGAGACTCAATACAATTAGTGTTTATGTGAAAAATCTGATGTAAGAATTGAAAACTGTCTTCGCATTTAATTATGTCCCCCCATTCATATTTGCTGTAGAATTTGAGGTCCTGACTGACGAGCTGATAAATGGCCCAGGCTACTGACAGACGGCTGAGAGGGTTTGGCTGAGCTGTGTCCACTATGTCAGGGGATATATTAGCATATTATCTGTAGCATTAAGTATACAGTCAATCAGAAAATGTTCATCCCAATGTTGAATATTGGAGAAATGATGCCCTCTGCATCACACTCCACTTAAACAATGGAAGATTTCCTGGGTTGAAGAGTCGGCTTTGATTCTTATTTCAAAACCTGAACGGGATGAAGTGTAAGCCATCTCACCAAAATAAAGACAAAGTAAAACAATTTGTAGTTTTATTTCTTTATAAATATATATCACATATGATGAATACAATATTTCCAATGACATTTCCAAAGAATCAAACAAAACCAGAGACAAACACATATTGGGAAATAGCATTATTGGTCCCTATTACATGTAAGTGCAATATTTCTGATCATCATTCTGTTGTGTTAGGGATGTCATTAGTACTGATAATGACATATAAACTTTACCACCACAGATATTCTATACCAACAAGGAATCATTTTTATCACTGATTTTGTCATACAGAACACTTAATTCCTCTATACTGACATTGTCATACAGAACATTGAATTCCTCTGTACTGACATTGTCATACAGAACACTGAATTCCTCTGTACTGACATTGTCATACAGAACACTTAATTCCTCTGCACTGACATTGTCATACAGAACACTTAATTCCTCTATACTGACATTGTCATACAGAACACTTAATTCCTCTATACTGACATTGTCATACAGAACACTTAATTCCTCTATACTGACATTGTCATACAGAACACTTAATTCCTCTATACTGACATTGTCATACAGAACA